GAACTACCGTTACTCATTCCACGAGGAACCCTAGTTCGAACTACCTAGTTCGTGCCGCGTGTAGCCGCGCGGCACGGGGTTCGAACGAGCGGGGATTTAAAAATGGCGGAGCCCCGCTTATGCAAATGAAGCCCGGGAAATTCAAATCCTGGGCTTCATTTGCAATTGCGGTATGCCTACATTACCCTCCTATTTCGAATTAGGAGGGTAGTGTAGACATACCCTAATAGATTAGTAAGACATGATTTCCCTTTACATAAACCATGTTGACTTTTGTCCAACAAATTATGTTCTTCTACATGCCTGACAATTTTATTCTTTACTATTGTTTTGACTAATTTGCCCGGTACATTTCGTTTTAATGTAACTTACAAAAACCTCTTAATGTAAAATATAATACAGTTGGTAGGACCAGTTTCCATTATATTGTGTCTTTATATGTTAGTATCTTTCAGAAACATTCATATTTGAAACTGAAAATGTCCAGAGGTTGATCTCTAATTTGTGAATTTCTGTTTTTAAAATTTGAGCAGAATTCTTTGCTCTTTTTTTAAAAAAAAACTTTTGAAGCGATTGCATTGTTACGTAACTTTCAGAATATGGGGTGCACGGTGCACTATGACTACAGCCCAAGTGTCCTTCCTGCCCTATTTTAACCCCCAGCTTGATTCCCAGAACTTGGACAGAGGAGACGATGTAGAATTGTTAAAGTGGCTCTGAAATAAGGTCATCACACTGTTGAATTGTCAGACAGTATATGAGCCATGGCCAGGTTAAGTAATGTTAGAATTGAGGGAATGCAGCCCACATAAAGAATGTGCATCTAATTGAAAGCATTTTATCTTTTATTCTTACAGTTCGTAAGATAAAAAATAATTGAGGTTAAAGGAAAAAATATTTCTTTACTTTGTATATAGTCAAGGTGGAGCTTGTGTTCATGGTGCTGTATCTTTCTCATTGAGGGTCAAGAACACACACACACACACACACACACACCCCAGCGCAGCAAGTTTCAGAGCTGTAAAGCACCAGTGTAAACAACTCCCAGCACTCTTAGGGTACGTCTACACTGCAACACTATTTTGAAATAGCTAGCACTATTCTTAGTCCCATCTACACCATAGTCAGTTACAAGCAGTCCCCGAGTTACATACGAGATAGGGACTGTAGGTTTGTTCTTAAGTTGAATTTGTATGTAAGTCGGAACTGGCAGGGCTTGGGTCTGTATCTATTAGTGATGGTTATTTCACTCAGGGAGAGTGGGGTTGCAGGAGAGCCGGAAGTTGAGTAGACAGCATCTGTGTGGTGAGAGCATAGTTTATGCGTTGCGGGGAGGGGGACATATATAATTAGACAGTTTGGCCTAGTGGATAGAGCGCTGAAGTGGGAGTGGGTTCTAGGAGACTTGGGTTGTATTTCCAGACTGCCACGGTGGGTCACTTCAGGCTAGTGACGTCTCTCTGTGCCTCCATTTCTGTACCTCTGAAATGGGACTAATGATAGTGAAGTGCCTGCAGAGCTTCTGATGCAAAACAGTACAGGCAGTCCCCGGGTTACATGGATCCGACTTACATCGGATCCCTACTTACAAATGGGGTGAGGCAACCCCGCACTAGCTGTGCCCCCCCCTCCAGCAGACCGCTGAGACGCACCGCGGTCCCACCGCCCGCGTCCTCCGTGGCGAGAAAAGCCCCGTTCGTATGTAGGGATCCAACGTAAGTCGGATCCATGTAACTCGGGGACTGCCTGTATTTTGAAATAGTGTCAAAATACTGTCAAACTGGAGGACTTCTTACTCTGACGCCTGTAACCCTCATTGTATGAGAGCACTCTTCCTCCAACTTCCCTTATTCCTGTTTCAAAATAAGTTCTGTGTAGACATTCCCTATTTCAAAATAAGCTATTTCAAAATAAGCCCTGCTGTGTAAACTCACCCTTAGTTACTCCCTTGGTTGAGGGGGTTTACCTACAGCACACCTCTGAGAGAGCTCTTTCCAGTTGGAACTACAGGCAGTCCCCGACTTACGCGGATCCGACTTATGTCGGATCCGCACTTACGAACGGGGCTTTCTCGCCCCGGAGGTCGGGGCGAAAAAGCCCCGTTCGTAAGCTGCTCCGGTGCCCCGGTCTGCTGGAGACCGTTTCCAGCAGACCAGGGGCACCGGGCGGGGT